AGGTAACTTATTAGTTGGCTTGTAACTGTTTTTAACAAACTTTCTAGCTATGCTCCATGGCATTTATCTGTCAGTGCTATATTTTTGTATCAAATTCTCATATTGTCTTATCCTTTATTAATGTCGAGACTTTGTAACCACAAAAGTTGCTGATCATCTTTGATAAGTAGATTATCTGAAAATCTTAAACTGAATTGTAAACTAAGTAGTGATGTATGCTTTCAAGTTTTTTCTTCACTGCAACAGTTAGCTTAAGTGAGTTAATACTCAAATTACTACTCAGAAGCTTTAATGAAACAAGAATGATTACATTGCGAAACACTTCAGTTATACAGAGTGGTTTGATTAGTGGCATAGAATGATTGGACGAACAGTTAATTAGTTCTTGTTACTAAAGTTACTGCATCTCAATTCATTACAGTAATTACTTGTTTAACACGTTCCCGCGTAACACGTTTTTGCAATAGCACGATTTTTTTTAGGGAACATTTTTCAAATAACATGACTGTCCCCGAAATAACACAAAAATAATCAAGTGGTGGACTATTTCAAGTGGTGGTATAAGTTGGTGAAAACAGTGGCAATAGGTATGAGCGGATGAATATACATGGTCACAGCGCTCCTCCTCTCACTCACGTGTTTATCTTTGTGTTTTAACAAACCATGGCAACTTGTCTTGCTAGATATCTAATGTTGACATTGATGACCGAGCACAAACAAAAAATTGACTTTGCCACCACCGTCTGAAACGCAACCCCCACCTTTTCCATTATTTTTAATGGGAAATTTTACCCCGCATAGCATGTTTTTGCTTAGTACGGACATTTTCAGAAACGCATCTATAGTGTTAAATGAGGAATTACTGTACTACTTTGAGTTTTAGCAGCACCTCCTGATGTTCCAACTAGCTCAAGCTAATAGAGACACCAAACTGAAGCTAGAGATTTTTGTTCATGGACTTGTTTGAGTAGTGTCCCTATGAGTACTCCATTTCAGGTACACCTGCACCTTTCATTGGAGACTTTTGGGTATCTGTGCCTGTTCAGTCCAGGCATGCATGCCACACATCCTTGTATCCCACACTGAGACTATAAGAGGCTGCATGGGTGAACTGACCTCAGTTCTCTCAGCTGCCTTTTGCCTGGGATGGAGTCTTCTGTGTGCCTGTTTTTGTTATTAGTCAATTTAGCAATATTTCATATTGTTTTCCTTTTTCCTTAAAAAAATTAAAAAGCTATGTTAGATAAATATAGATATCTAGATTTTAATATCTTTCCTCATAGAAAGGTGAGCTCAGGAATATCAGGTTCCCAGGGATTTAGTTGCCTCTTGTGTCATGAGGCTGGCTATCAGTGCCTCTGCTGTTTGGGAGATGTGAAAATTCTGAGTAAATGCAAGATCTACATTTCCCTCATGTGTAGATCCCAATGGACGAAGCCTTAAGACTGGTTTTGAATCTGGGTCGGAGGGCTCCACTGTACATAGATATCCTAGTACAGTTAGTGCCCTGTCCACCTCAATATCTCTGTCATGGAATATTGCTAGAGTTATAGGATATAGCAGTACCATTTGTGTCTAGGAGTCTGAAATTCTTGAAAGGTAGTTTTGATGTCTTGCTCTATTCAAAAAGAGGTAAAGAGTAAATATCCTAAGAAGTTTGTCACCACTGCATAATAGGGTTATGGAGACCTCAGATCCCAAGAGAAATTCCATGCAGTTCTACGTGATCATGATACCAATAAAAAATAGTTTCAAAAAGTCATTCATCAAAGACTGAATTGGTACCACGCTGGAGTGCCTGCCGTACCCAGAGTTGCAGACTTTCTGAGAAGAATTCTAAGCTTGTTCCTGAGCAACTGTCAGTGTCAGCAAGACAGAAGACTGGTCAACTGTCTATGGTACTGATGGAATGAGAGTCAATTCTTTCATGCCAGGTACTTAGGACCAGCTATGTTGGAACTAATGCCACCCTTCATTGGTTCTTGCTTAGACTTGTCTTTGATGGCATCAGTACCACAGGGATTTAGATATTCTTAGGATTTTTTACTATCTTTGAAGCTGATGTCCCCTTTGTTAATGGGTACTGAGGGTTTATCCATGCCAACACTTATTACGATCTGCTATCAGACTTTTTATCATCTACTGTACCACACTCGCCCTCATTTACTTTACAAGCTGAACACTTATCCTACTCTTTGGAGAATAGTGAAGAGGACTCCTCCTCAACTCTCAGATATTGGAACATGATTCTCTTGTTTACTGTAGAACACATCACTTCCTTTCCTACATTGGAATATTGCAGGAGGTTAGACCTCAATTGGCAGCCTGGTGTCAAGAAGACAGATTGATGCATCCATCTCTACCATATGGCCACCCAAATGGTCTTGTTTGGACTTGGGAAGATTCTGTCGTCAATAGTTTGCATCAGTCTTTGCACCACTAAAACAATCAGAGAAAGGCCTATTCCCCTCAACCATCTCTGCCATCAGAGAGAGACCTGATCTCTCACTATCAAAGCCAGTATAGTTATCCATTAGTCAATACCAACACCATATATCCATGAAAGAACTATTACCCAAGCAGAGGAGAAAATCTTGAGCAGAAGCTTCCAAGAAAACCTAGATAAGATTGCAGCCTGTGGCAGGCTAGCCGAGGGCTGTGCTTAAAGGGACCCGACACCCACCCCAGACAGACAGTTCTCAGGGGTGCCCCGCTTGCAAAGCAGTCCTGGCTTGGATTGCCCGGAGTACCCACACTGGGCACATCACAGCACTCGGCCATCAGACCGGCTGCACTTGCCGCAGGCTGCCATCTGAGGAGAGGGGGCAATTGGGGGGCTGCAGGAGAGCTTCCACCCCCAGAAGCCCGCAGAGCCAGCCCAGTCCTCCCCATCAGGGGCTCGTACCCCATTCTTCCCTCACCTCCTTCCACTTACCCTTCCCTAGCCCCCCTTCCTGATGTACAAAATAAAGAAAACGTGTGGTCAAAAATAGAATCTCTCTTTATTGAACAAAGCTGGGGGAGACTGGGAAAAGGAGGTGGGAGAGGGGAAAAGAGAGGGTGGGAGAGGGGAGGGCAACTAAAATGATCAGAGGTTTGGAACAGGTCCCATATGAAGAGAGGCTAAACAGACTGGGACTTTTCAGCTTAGA